GCCTTCACATCTCTAGGTGCCACGACCGGGAAGGCCCTCTCCCAGATTGCCACCTGCCTGACCTCAGCAGGGCCACCTGCCTGACCTCAGCAGGGCCTCCAGAGATGACCATAGTGGTCAGTCAGGCAATTTCATAAGGAATTAGGCAGTCCTTCAAGTATATTGGTCCATAAACCACTCAGGGCTTTGAAGGTCAACACCAGGACCTTGAATTGTGCCCAGAAACAAACCGGGAGCCAATGTAGATGGGCCAAGACTGGAGTGATAGGATTCCAATGATCCACTCCGGTCAACATCCCGCCTGCAGCATTCTGTATCAACTGAATCTTCCAAAGACTTCTCAAGGCAGACCCTTGCAGAATGCACTACAGTAATGTAATCTAGATTTAACAAGAGCATAGGGTTGCCAGCCTCCAGGTGGCACCTGGAGATCTCCCGCTATTACAATTGATCTCCAGATGACCAAGATCAGTTTCCCTGGAGAAAATGGCTGCTTTAGAGGGTGGACTCTATGGCATTACACCTTGCAGAGGTTTCTCCCCTCCCCAAACCCCGCACTCTCCAGGCTCCACCCCCCCAAAAAAAAATCTCCAGGTATTTCCCAGCCCAGAGTTGCCAGCCCTACCAGGGCATGCACCACAGTGCCCAGAACTTTAGTGCCTCGGAAAGGCCACAGCTGGCTAACCAGTCACAGCCAGCGTTCCTGGCCAGAGTTGCCAGCTGCTTATCTGGCAACAGGCCTGAGTCCACGAGCACCCCCAGACTACGGGCCTGTTCCTTCAAGGGGAGTGGCAACCAATGTTCCCTCTAAGCTGTGGAGTCTTGTGAGCAAAAATTCTACTTGGTGGGTTTCTGTCATTAAAGTTGTGAGCGAGCGATTTGTCTACTGCATAATTTAGTTTGCTCTGGAGCCGTCCTTCCTGAGCTGAGACAGAAATGTGTGAGCTGTAGGCTAGAAAACTGTGAGCTAGCTCACACTAACTCAGTTTAGAGGGAACACTGGTGGCAACCCCACTCAGAACAGGTGATACCTCAAATCCTGAGTCAGACCTTCCACCCACCAGTAGCGCTTCCATCTTGTCGGAATTAAGATTCAGTTTCATAGTTATTAAATGCTAAATATTATTAAGTTATTAAACACATCTCATCTCTTGACACAGATCATGACATACTGGAGACTGATATGACATTTGTGTCACATGCCAAAAGCATATCTGTGGCTAAATATGAGATATAGCCAGTCACTTGGCTAGCTTTACTTTAGTCTGATTCCGGGATATTTAATTCACAGAAGAGTGCCAACATTGAAGACACCCGCACATAACCCCCCCCCACACACACACACAGACATATCATGCCAGAAAGCAAAACATTTCATAATGCAGTTAACAGCTATGTAAAGAAGGAGAACATAAAGCTAGAATCCTGATTACAGATCTTTCCTGCCATGAATGGGCATGAAGAGGTAACATTTTCACTTATATTCCAGCAAACTCACTCCTCCAGGGGAAAATAATGTTATATCTGAACTATCTGGGCATTGTTTCAGGGTCTTGAAATGACATTCACAGCGTAGCAACAAAATTCCTGTTGTTATGACACTTATGGGGGCATAGAATTTCATAGGGGCTACTAAGAAATGGATTCAGTCCAGCCTTTATAGAGCCATCTTTTCCTTTACACAGCTGTGCCCTGCTTTTATTTCTTTGTGATCTAGCTTATATATATACTAGCAAAGATGGTGGTGTGTGAAGAGGGGCAGACATGTAGTGGGGGGGAAGAGAGGGAAATAGACAGTTCTCCTTTTGCGCACTACACACTGCACAAAGACCTTTCCCCTCGTCTACAACCATGGAATCTCTGCAGCAGCCAGGACACCTAGTCTAGGGCTGAACCTCATGTCTGGCACTTATTGCCACAGCGTCCACAAATTTAGCACTTCTGTTATCCTTCACAGAAAAAGTTCATGTAAGAAATAAAGGGTGCTTTAAGGAGCACCACAAAAGCGGAGGGGCAGGGGAGGAGAGAGATAAAATTGCCTCCTGTGCCAGTTTTGGGAAATCAAGCCTGTTCATAGCCCCATCTTGTTTCTTGGTCACATGAGAAATGGACATGCTGTTGGGAACTGTTTTTCTCTACACAGGGAATGTCATTAAGGAATCTGGGAGGTGTTCCCAGTCCAGGAAGCAAATTCTTCTTAGAAAAATACTGAGCCTCCCTGGGCTTTTCCTGTTCTGTGAATAGAGGGCGATTCGCCTTACCAGCTTTTGTTTGAGCAAACTGCTTACATTCCGTAGCATTCTCAGCCACAGGAGGGGTGGAATACATCGTTCCAAAGGAGCAGAATCCAGCTATTAGAGGGATTATGCAATTATCCCAACCCAATCGAATTCCCTTCCCTCCCTTAGAAAGATGAGGTGGAGTAGCCAAGGCAGGAAATTAACAAACGCAAGGAACGAAGGTGCCCTTGTTTCCACTCTTTCATTTTCTTGGCGCACGATTGTTAACATGGTGAGCTGCACTGTGTAAACAGCTCTGCAAAAGCCACCGGAGAAAACCCCAGTTTGGTGTCAACCAAGACCTGTAAACTCAAAGTAGCTTAATTTGTATAGTTGCAAGCAATGATTTATTTATTGATTTCTCAAATTTATACCCTGCCCTCCCAGCCAGTGTTTTCAGAATCACAGTAAGTGCATCAGCAGGTGAATGTCTGCTACACACAAAAGGAAGGTTCTCTTTGTGTGGCATAACTTCTTCCACTCCCCCCAAAAAACCTGAACAAAAACCACCTCCCAAACCCGACACGTGTGACGACAGAGAACAACACATGTGATGACAAAGAAGCAAATCATGAGCATGATAAAGTCACATAAATATCCAGGACTGACAGAAAAAGGAAATGGGTGAAATTAGATCCTGAAAGACAGCAGCAGACACGTGAAAATCACAACTCTATATGTGTCACATCTGTATCTCATTCTTCCTGAAAGAGACTTGTTTATCAAATTTAGTCAGCACAGTGGGGTGGGTTAGGATGAGAAGCAGTCATTTGCCTAAGACTACTGAACAAGTTTAGCGCAGGGGAAGATTTAAGTTACAGGGAAATCTCTGGTTGATCACTACCCTAGAGGGCTGGTGGTGGTGGCCAAGTTCCAGCAACTCTGCCAACACCTCAGGAGCCATTTGACTCAGCATCAACTCACCAACTGCGTCCTCCTGCACTAATGCCACTTTGTGGGATGAATACAAATTAGAAGATTTCACATATACAATTTCAAATGCTGCATAGTATAATCACATTCACTTTAAAGCACCAATCCATACAGTGGGAAACATCCCCGAGATTGCTAAATCCCCAACAGGTATCTAGATTTTTTCAGCCCGTTTCAACATAGGTCTTCCTCAGGGAAAGCTACCACATAATATATTTTGTTAAGGGGACATGTTCCCTATTGAGTTTGTGGAATGTTGCTAAGAAAGCTCCTTCCTTCTGGGAGATCATTTTTAGCACCACTTAACAAAATACCTCTTGGGAATGTTTCCCACTGTATGGATCGGTGCTTTAATGTGAATGTGATTATACTACGCAGTATTTGAAATTATATATGTGAAATCTTCTAATTTGTATTCATGGTTATACGAGATACAAATCACCAAAACCATTTTGTGTACTGAGTACCCCTTTTGAATACATATTAATAGTATATTGCACAGCATTTTTTTTTTTGGCTTGTTGACACTGTGGCCCTACGTTTATACAATTTTGTGGAATGAGGCAAAGGGTGAGCCAATGTCAATAGCACCACGGGAGCTGCTCAGCTGGCCTTCTCCAGAGCCATTTTCATTTCCTGGT